TTTTTTTAATCCATTACAAATGTAGTTCTACCACATGTTACACCTGGTTAAGTGGAAAATCACATTCAGTGGAGACCCATAGTAAGAGCATGATTTTTCTCTTTATAGTTTTGACTAACTTTTTTTTTTTTATTATTAGTAATAAGGGTTGAGCTGAATAATCTAGCACACTAGAGAACATGAAGTCCCATCTAGCAGTTTGCCCTCGTTGGGTTGGCTTATTTCTATTTGGATATCACCAACACTCCTGTGCAATGCATTCCTTCCCCCATAGATCGCAAAATAAATGCAGTCAAATTCCAAAGTTTGTTTTGACTTAGTATTGGTTGGGCAGGGTGGCAAAAGAGATATTTCTGGGCGAGAAGAACAGGGGAAGTCATCATGGGGTTTTTTGGTATGTCTGATACTTAAAACAGAATACTGTACTTCTGTCTGTGTGAATCCACACGTGTCTCATTTTAAATATCTTCTGCTTCTTTGACTTGATATTTAAAACTGTCTTAAATCCTTCCCCTAAAATAATGTGGTTCTGAAAACTTCCATATTTTTGGTATTATAATCTTGCAAGTCTGTCATGTGAAGCTTACGACTTTGAGAGACTTGAGCCAGTACAGCACTATGATAATGGTTTATATGCTATGAGAGTGCATTTGATGGGTCATTAACTGCGAAATCTGCGGGGAGAAGAATAAAGGTTTTTGGTTTTTTGTTTTTTGTTTTTTTGTAAATGTGGCTTTTAAAACTTGCTTTGAGACCATGGGAAATGTTACGTACAGTGGGGAGCTACGTGCAGTGAACCAGAGTTAAAGGGCAAAGCCTGGTACAGGACTTGAAAGTGCTTAGCCCTCTGCAGCCGTGTCACAGTACTGGTAGAGCAACGTGATCTGGCAACATGGCATCTCTCATCTGACATCTGTTTGGAGTCACGCTAGAACAGTCATGCCTCGCTGTGCTGGTGAGCTTCGGGATGTCCCAGCTCATAGCACCAGGTGGGTAGAGCAAGAGGACTCCTCCTGGCATGCTTCTGCTCTGGTTGAGGGTGGCAGTTTTCAGCTGTGACGAAACTTTCGTGAACTTGAACTGAATTTGCTGGGGAAGGGGGTGGGAGGAGGAGAAATCAACTTAAAACTGGTAAGAAGGTGAGGATTCAGAGTGCCTAGTATGTGCCACCTAGAAACGTGCTGGTATTTTTGCATCTCTTGAGCATGTATCATCACTCCAGATCTGTGGTTAAGGCCATAGTTCAATGTGCTTTTTAGGCTGGTTCAGGCAGTTTCTGCCTTGTCCGCTGTTGCTAAGCCAGCACAGTGGTGGTGGTCCAGAAGCAGGAGAGCTGGCTGAAAAAAAATAAGGTTATTTTTTAGCACGATCCGTTCCTTGATGTAGCTTACCGTACTGCTGCATGAATGCTTGTGCTGGCCCAGTGCAGGAGAGGGTGACGGGATGGGAACGAGTGACAGGGAGCAGAGTCAGCCTTGTCATTGAGAAGCTTGTTTGCACCCTTCTCTCTTAACTGTAACAACAAACGCGCCCACCCTCTGCTTCCAGACCACAGGCTAGCTTGCAGCTGCTAGGAAGCGTATAGTGGGAGAGAGGGAAAGAATTCTTGCTGTGTCTCCAAAAAGATGTTGTATTCTGTAATTCTGAAATCTGATTTTTTTTTTTTTTCTTTTCTCTCCAGAACACGATGCCTAAAAATGGCGCTAAAGGAAGTGCCAAGCAGCGACTCCCAGACCAGGAGTCTGAGCTGGTTACTGCCTGTCTCATATCAGGGGAAAAGGCTTGTCCATAGAGTTTACGTTAAGGTAAGTCTAGGGTTTGGCACCCAGTCAGTAGACTTCCATTCTTGCGTGCTAAAGGCAGTGCCTCTCCATAGGTGGACAGAGCTGATCTAAGTCTAGTCCCCTTTTCTGTTACTGTGTTAGTGGGGGTGACAGAAGCTTTTCAGCCAACAGCAGTAATTAATAGTGATCACCATCACTCTGCATCTCTCTGCGCCCGAGCTATTGCTGGGATCACAGGGAGAGGGGACAGAATCTTTCACTGAAGAGGCAGTGCTGCAAGTTCCTCGTCTGTAGTTTTGAATGTTTTTCCAGTGATGGGCCTAAGCGCTTCACTGATATTAGCAAGGCTATGCTCCCAGAAGCAGCTGTGGATTTAAGGGAAATAAGTTTTATTGTAGTGAGGTAGAGAGAGGTGTTACCTTTAACATTGTATTAGAGCAGTATAAAGGTGGGATTTGGGAACGAATTTATACCTGACATGAGTTAACTGCCACAGGTCTCATTGTCACGTTCTACAGGGATAATGAACGGTCAGTCTAACCCTTTTCAGAAATGAGGCCAGTTCTTGGTCTGGTGACATCAGTATTTTTTCTGGACTAAAGCTAGAGGAGGGGAGACGTGGGCCTGTGCAGTGATGCGTATGGCATGCCCCAGGTGCTACCTATTGCCAAGAGGGTAAACTTAACGACCAGAGCTGAGCACTTGCACAAGTCTTGTTGAGCAACTGCCAGGGAGCTTACTACTGAGAGAAGGTGTAAGGTGTCGTGGGAAAACACCACCAGACCAGTCAGCTATGAAGCAGGTACAATATTAAAAAGAAGAGAGGCCAACTTCATTACTGTTATGCAGCATGTTGGTAATTGCAGTAGCATCCTTCTCCCAGAACATCAGACGCCACCATTCCAGTTGGGGATGTTTTGTACTAGTTATGATTTCCACTACTGCACCACAACAAAAGCTAACCCTAACCCCCCAGCCTGGGCATACAATTCCTCCAGGGCAGCAATAGCTGCCCCGCTGTTGCCTTTTAGCTGCTGAGCTGTGCAGCAAGCTGGATCAAGGTGTTAAGCCCAGTTAAATAAAGCTTTATTGCCTAGTACAGTCAATTCTGAGCCCCACAGGCAGCAGTGTGCTGTGGTCAGCCTCAGACAGGAATACTCAGTTATACTCTCGGCCTAACCGAGGGCCAGGGCATGCAAAAACTACTTAAACTGGCAGGACAAATGTCTATGTAGTCACAGGCTCAGTATATTTCAAGATAGTCCAGCTCCCCTCCTGGGAAAAGTGGAAGATGAGGACACATTTCCTGCCTGGTGAGGTAGGCACCGTCTTGGAGAAGTGGCTGTTGATGAGGTAACTGGTTCAAGTGCTATGAGCAGATACTCCGAAAGGAAAGGCCAAAAAAAAAAAAAACCCCACAGCCCATGTTGTTTTTCATTAATATTAGAATAATTTATAAAGGCATCAAAACACATTCAACATTTATTAACAAGCTGATCTTGCAAACAATACGTAATTACTGGGACATTTTGGTGAAGTTGAAGGCACCTTGAAACGAGATGGAGTAATAGTAAAAGATCCTGCTGCCTTCTGCAGCATCCCCTTCATCTGAAACTGTCTGACCACCATCTGCATGACTTCTTCCTACTATACTTTATACAAGGGACATCTGTTAACTGTCCTTGCAGTAGGAACCTGCCCTCTTTATATCTACAGAAATATTTACTGTTCCATGCCAGGCACAGCTTCTGTACCTTGGTAGGAAAGAGACAAAAGTTACTTCAGGTTCTTCTGTTTCTTTACGTCAGACAAAGGTCGAGTGACTCCTTTTCCACGGGCACCTTCCTGACTTTTGAATTACTTTGCTCTCACCATTCACTAGGAACAACAGAAAAAAAAAAAAAAAAAGCCCCGGGAGTTCAGCTGGCCAAGAAATCTTTCTGCTGTCAAAGTCCATGGCAGTATTTATCAACCAAACAAAGGGCCTGCACCACGTGCCAGGGAAGCTTTTGTGAGAATTGGATCCTAGGCTATTTCTGTATAATAGGCACTGATAACAGGCCCTACTAGATATTGCCTTAAGCTAACAGCCAAAGGAAATGAAGTCACTCTAAATGTAAACAGCTAAATCATCTAGCAAGGAACAGTTCTATTCTGCTGTAATATAGCTACTTTCAAAGCTGCCAGCCCTTTAAAAAAAAAGAAAAAAAAAAGGGTACTGCTGAAGATGATGGGTAATTAGCTGCAGTCACTTCACTCCAGAAAGGAATTAGATGTTCATTCCAGGGAGCATTTTTACATGGGAAAGAAGAGAAACGCCTCTGATTCTTACAATCTGAGCTGGCCCCATAAGAGTTACAGCAGTAACAGCATTCTAGGAAATATCTTTTTAATTGAACCTGATTTGAGAAAGATCTCAGTCATTTCTATTGCTGATTAACTTTTTAAAAAAAAAAAAAGAAAAAGAGAGAAAATTGCTTCATGAAGAATTTTCCAGTAGGACATTAACAAGGTGTCACAGTGAACCTGCCTTGGCTTCATTTCTTACGGTCTAAATTTTAACTATACAGTGCATTTGAACTGAAGCCAACATGGACACACCGTCCTTCTGGAGGTAGCTTATTTTGTACTGTTGCTACAACACAGTTAGAGGTGATGAGGCATCCAACTTCCATTCTGAGCCTACGCCAGTCCAGTGGTGACAGACTGGTACCTAGCACTACCTGTGTGGCAGGCAGTGGCGAAGGGAGGAAGGAGAGGTACATCCTCCTCTTCCTCCTCCAGTGCTTTAAGTCTGCATCTGAACACTGGGAAGCTGTGATAAAATTTACAAGACTGCTTCCTGGGACAGAAGTTTCTCACCAGTAAACAAATCTGCCTTCTTTGTGAAAAAGCTGGTTATTTTATCGAGTCATGAAACCAAGGGAACCAAGCTGAGGAAGGGGATCAAAATTAAACAAATTCCTCATCTCTGATAGGCCCTTTATACAAGTCAGCACAGCTTAATGATCTAACATAGCAGCTCCTATGAATGTTTTTATATATAAAAAAATTTGTTAGACTGCTGTTGCCTACATACTTCAGTACTGTGGGTGAGGAACTGCTTAACTGATCCATATCCTTACAGTTTTCTTAGTGGCTTTTAAAAATGTATAAAATGACCCAGTGTCCAAGAAGAGTAGTCAGACAGAGAGCAGTAACAAAAACTGTATTCTTAACTAGCCGAAGTATCTGACAGTCCCTCCTGTTTTAACCTGTTCAGTACATTAAATGGAAAACAGCTCTAAAATTGAGGAAAACGCTTCAAAGTAAAGACGGACCATTTGTAGCGAAGCACTGAAAAAATTTTCTCCACCACACCACTCCTAAAGAACTCTGCTGAGCCCAGGAAGCTAGCAGAACAGTTCTGATTCACTATGACATTGAATCTAACAATTCCATGTAATTGAATTGTTTTTGGGTTGTTGGTAACCTCAGCACAGTATAGAAATGTTTTCTCCAAAAAGACAGCGAAAAGTCTTCCATGACAATATACTGTAAGGCAAGAATTCAACATTCCCTTGGTTTATCATCTGTCACGTTTAGCTTGATGCAATAGTCAACAAATATCTGATACCAGAGATGATCCTTGAAACTGCTGCATATTTTGTTTTAGTGTTCACACAAGGCTTCCTGGCCAAGACACCACAGTAAGAATGACTTTATTCCTTTGTTCTTTCAGCATTGGGATTAGTTCCGAATTGCTCATTCCTATAGCAGGCACTCCGTTTACTGCCACTATTTCATCTCCACACCTAGTCAGAAAACAGGAAACATGCTCGTCAGCACACATTTAACTCTTTGTTAAAACAGCACCCGAAGATCCCAGAACATTAGGATGGCTAGCCCTCCCCAAGATGAGATTATAAACTCTTTGTTGAAGTGAATTATTTGACTAGATGAAAGATTAGGGGCAAGAAGGGAGCGCGTGCAAGCACAAAGACCTGTTGTTCACAGTGGCTCGCTTCTAAGTAAGTTCTCTGTTCAAAGGGGCTTAAGATGAAGAGATGGAAAAGATAAAAGGATGATGCAAGTATGAGTGATAAAGCAGTGAAGGTCATCAGGAGTGCAACTGAAAGGCCAGTCAGCAGAGGGAAAAGTTGCAGACAACACATCTGTGCTGATAACACGTTCACCACCTGTGCCTCTCCTACAGCTCCTTCACAAGCAGATGCTAAGGTGAAGTGCCAACAAGGCTGAAGCATGGTGTCCCATTTGTAATTCAATACAGTAGAGGTTTTGGAGTCTGCCTGATCTGCCCAACTTTGGAGAGCACCAAGCTATCTACTGAGTGGTTGCACCATTCACCTGTAGTGATTTGAGGTGCAGCAGCGGTTTAACAGAAGCCCACAAGTTACCTGCTCTGCTGTCCTATCATTCAAACAGGATACAATATACAAATCAAAATTTAATATAACATTCACTTCATGTTTGTTGGTAGTTGCATCTTACAGAGAAACCAAAACACTACTCATTAATAGAGGACTTTAGTTTCCTAAAGTCCTTCCTAGTCCTAAAGGACTTAGGAGTTCGGTGGTAGTAAAACTCTACAAGTAAGCGTCTAAACTTCTAGCTCAGCTAGTTAAGAGGGGTAGGAGACAACACCTCAATAAAGTGGTACCCACTACTGTACGTATCAATTGTCAGTGCTTCTGACATGAACACCAAAGAGCCCAAGAGCAGCTCATACGTACTTCAGCCTCCTGTCTCGGAACGCAGGAGTCCCAGGCACTATGGTTTTGATGAAGAACGGCTGGTTTCCTTTACTTTCTTCAAAGCCTCCAACAATGCTGAATCCCCAGCTTTCCAAGTTACCTTTACTCAGGACAATATCTTGACAGCAGTGAAGGTAACTGTGAAGACAGGCGCAGTCAAAAACAAGCAAGGCTTATGTGTGTTTTTCAAGGAAAGTCTACTGACAAGTTCATCTTTTCGAGGGAAAATTTCTCTGTCTGTGCAACAGCCTCACCTTTATTGCGTTATTAAGGACACACCACCACTATGAAAGGAAAGACAGACTGAGCAGTAAGGGCAAGGCTGAGATTGTCCACTGGGTGCCTTACAGGGGTGGTTCACAAACCTGAAGATCCCAGTCCGTTAGAATTTTAGACTAGCACAGACAGTACTGAAGAGGTAACAACAAGAACAAAAAAAATTTACTCTGTAAACGGGTTTGAGACCTGAAAAAGAGTAATGAATAACTCATTAGTGCTGTAATGAAAAGAGATACAAACTGATTGTGAACAACATTGGAACACCCCATGCAATTAATAGGAATTGGGCTTTGTATTCCATGGGTATGCTGCATGCTTCGTACGATGAATGCATTCAGCAGCCAAATATCACTGAGGGAAAGAAAGCAAACGTGAGGTAAAGCTGCCTTCCTTCTACTAAACACAAAACCCAGCCAAATCTGAATATGAAAGGTTCTTCTTGCAGGCCTGGCAACCAGGATTACTGCGTACTGGAGGATTCTAAGTTCGGTGTATGCTGCAGTACTAAGATTTGAAAAACGTGATATATAAGCATTAACAGCACTTACTGCTGGAGCGTGCAGCACAAGGAAACATAAAGCCCTTGCTAGGTGTCTGCAAAGGTGTGGCAGGAGTAAATGCAGGCAGCTTGTGTGCTCTGGCTCACATTCAGGTTGCTTTCTGGCAGCACAGAGGTGCCAGAAGCACACTGTGTGAAACTGCTGCGGATCACCCCACTAAGGTATTCCAGCAGCTAAACTTTTCCTAATAAACGTTTTTGCCTCAAGGGCTTTGCTTGAGCAGTTTGGGTATGGGTTTCAGATTTCAAAAGCTTTCTCAGTTAACTTCTCACTAGGAGAAAGAGCCAATTATCTACTTTCTAAAATGTAATTTACTTTTGTATAAGTTCTACATACATGAATGCTGGAAGACCCAGCTTACTGGTAACTCCAGATTTGTGTCCTACTGATACACAAATGTAAGGACACGGCTAGGATAAATACATTCAGCACCTAGCGCAAATACAAAATGGCACAAAGAGCAAACATGGTAAGCACTATTTCATACATACATACATATATATATATATATATGAGAGAGAGAGAGAGAGAGACTATGTACACTTTCTACAAAAGTTGGATAAGGCCATGCTTTTCTACATCAGGTTATTTGCTAGAAATCAAATTTCTATATGAAGATGGCATTTAGGAAGTGAAACATTAGTTCACTGTAATGGAAAGTGACAGCAGGAAGGAGGTTTTAGATTGTCCTTTCTTCTATAAAAGTGCAGGTTTCATCCGGACAAACAGTCTGCCGGGTTTGCAGTTCTGCACCCCTTTCAGAATTTGTGGAACGCACTGCTCCAGCGGAGCCGTGACAGGGCGCATCTAAAAGTACTGGCAGAAAGAGCTCAGACTTCAGAGAGACAGGCATCGCATAGAGCTCAAGGGAAAAAAGGGGGGAAAAAATTACTACTTTTCAGCCCTCTGAGAATGAGGCACAAATCATACTGGACACAATCATCATTTCAAGAGCCAAAGCCTTTACCGAGAGAAGTCAAGTCAAGCTGTAAGCTTGGTATTTGTACAATCTTTAGGTTTCAGTATGCAATGAAATAGGGCTCCCCATACACCCTAGCTGCCTGCAAATCTCTGTTTTGAGATGGAATTTTATACTATGAGTAGTTGGTATAGATTTAACCTAATACTATGAAGAAAGCCAGTAGAGCTCCTACGCTGTCTTCTGTGAACACATACAGTGATCATGGTAAACATTCAGCAGCAATAAGGAGTAGCTCACCGCCATCAGTTAAGAGCAAACCAAGGAACGGACAAAGTGAAAACTCACAGGGATGTTAGGGCTAGCAGTTACATTACAAGATAAAAACACAAGAAAAATAACAGCCAGCTGATTCTTCACAGCCAACTACTAGTTGCTTGAGGTGAGAGAGAGAAGAATATTACTATGTTGTCCCCATTATGGAGATTTTTAGATCTTCGTCCAAAGTATCTGGCATGGTCAAACAGAGGTAGGAGATGCTTACTGATCCAAGCTTACGTGTGAAATGCTGCAATGCTAGTAGCCTTAGCAGCACAGAATGTTTTTCCTTTAGGGGGGAATGTGACCTGGATGCTTCCGTTACTTCCTCTTCTACCCATCATCCCAAGACGGACAGAGGACCAGGGCTTTAATCCCTCTCCTGCAACTCTTCAGCAACATTAGTCCAGCAGTTCTACAGCATGGTCTGTAGGGGCTCTGCCTTATAAACTACAGTTCAGAGAAAGCGTGCTAGCTACTAAGTGAGCCAAGGTGACAGATGGTATTTGGTATAAACAATAAACCACAAATACAAGAATAAAGGCTAGAGTTAAATATGGTGGGCTGAAGCACTGCAAAGACTGAATCTCTCTCTCTAGCCCTGAGCACTAACTTTGACTCCACTCTTTCAGCACAAAGTTACTATTTCGGACTCCCATAAGAAATACGTGGGTTTCTTTTAAGAAGGATGAAAGAATATTTCTGCTGGATCAGAGAAGTACTTGGAAAAAAAAAAAAGCTGAAGAAAAAAAGAAGCCCACCTCATCAGCAGTGGGCTTCAGACTTTCACACTGTATTGCAAAATATTTTAGCACACTGAGGCTATGTCTGCTTTAGCAAGCAGGGCAGCCCACAGGGAACACATCTGTTGAGCAAAACAACTGGTGCTGAGGAGTAAGGTCCATATTCCCCTCTCCAAGCACACATTCCTCATCTAAACGAAAATGCTAACATAGAGGCAACCCAAAACATTTCAAGGCGACAACAAGCAAAGGTTTCATTTCAGGATTCCCCAGCAATGTTACAAAAATTAAAAACTGATCATGCCAGCCACTATGTCAAATAACGCAAGTACCTTGCTTAGCTGTAAAAAGGCAGAGCGCTGTTCATTCTTAGTGGCTTTAGAGGACCAACTAGCTGCTACCAAGTCTTACTGTGAGCTCACTGGAAAATTAGTGAGGAAGCACATGACAGTCACAACCATTTTTATTACTGGAAGCAAGAAAGAAAATTTTGTGAGCTCCTGAAATGAAATAGCCTTGCTTTGTGCCTGCCTTCTAAGCAGGCTCACACCCACAAAGGAACGCCAGGCATAGAAATTCAGATGCCCGAATTCAGCTCAGAGCAGGAAAGGAAGAGTAAGAGCAGAAGGTGCTTCTGAAATCATTGTGCCTTGCTTCAGTAGAGAGGGATAGCAACAGTCATAGGAAGAGGAGCCAACGTTAATACCAGCCACAGAAGAATTTCAAGCAGTTTTTATTACATAGCAGGTAGTGCCACAGTCCGTTTTCGAAACGAAGGCAGGTGACTGGCGAGCAGAGACTAGACTCCAATCCTTGTAGCAGACCTGGGGAGAGGCTGCAAGCCACCTGACGCCCAGATAAACAGGAAAAGAGAAGGATGAAAGCACAGCCAGTTTTCGCCTCGCTGTACTTCAGCGCAGTAGCACCCATGAGAAAACTAACACCAGCCAATATCTGAGGACTTGTACTTCGGTTTGGGTTATCCAGGTGCAGCTTGGACTAGTTCATACTAGGTCTGTGCAGAAGAACCGGGCTCGTTCCCTGGGAGAAAGGAGGAACCTGGTAGGGCTGTGCTGAATACAAGCCAAGCTAGTGGCTTGAGACACAAAAGCTACCTTCCTTCAGCTGTTTTGTTTAGCACATACAGGCTGCTAGGTAACATGAGGGTAACGTAACCGAGCCTTTGTTAGTGTTTGCTCTTTGAGGTGCCTCAAGAAAGGAGGCTGTAAATAATCTGAGCCTCTCACAAGAGGGTTCGGCTTCACTGTTCTGTGTGCATCTCCTACACCTTTTCCAGTTAGCTAGACCTACAATAGGCTGTACCTTTCGAGGCTGAATACATTTCAAAGAAACTGCAAAAGGGAGCAAAATAGAGGTTCACCTCTTAAGGAAGGAGACAAATTCAAGCTTTCTAAGTCACTGACGCTGTCACGCTGAACTCAGCACAAATTTTAGCAGCAACGTGGCACGTCTACGGTCTTAATGCTTTGCAGCGGGGAAACAACTGTTGAGAAGCACTTCTGCTTTATGTTACAGATTACACAATTAAGAAAACCAGTAGGAATTAGACTGAAAGACTGCCTGTCCCTAAATGAAGGGATTAGATCAGGGACTATAAAACACTACAGATTGGCTTGTGTTACGCAATCCAGAAGAGCCACAGTGATTTTGGTTAATAATATTCTAGCAGGGATTGTTTCTACAATGACTATACTTCAAGTCAGGGCCTCAAATGCCGTTATACATAGTTCTCATTCCCTAGGTCAGTTCTCTTAGAAGAGAGGTTTTTCTGGAAATTCTGAAATATGGTTATTATCTAATACAAGCGGGGGAACAACGGGTCACACGGTGAAAAGCAGTGGAAGTTCCTTATGCGTTCATTGTACTGCAATCTCATTGACAAAGAAGGATCCCCACTGCCTTAGCTAAAGGCGACTATTGGTACATTTTAATTGTTTTCAAGACAACCTATGATGTAACTCATTTTTAGCATTTGGGTGAAAGTCAACTCTGTGACTGAACAGATCTCTCCACACAGTCCCTGAGCAAGCATACCTAGGCAGTCCGAGCCACGTGATCCAGAGGGGAGACCAACTGAATCCTTGCTCCTTGATGTCCAGAGATGGATCTGCTGGGTCTGATACAAGGATTTCCAAGGCTTTCAGTACTACTGAGTGGGAAGCTGCATTAGATTTCAATGCTGAGACAGCTTCGTAGTAGCTCAGATGAGTCAAGTCAATGCCATTTATGCTCAAAAGTACATCTCCTGTTGATTCAATAAGGTAAGATGATTACAGCCACATAGATATATGCATTTTTGTTAACAAGTCCATTTCTGCTTCAAGGTCTCCTGTGGAACTCTGTTTTCAACTCCATTTTAGCGTCTAAGTCCAACTTTCGCTTTAAAACAGTTCATAAAGTATAAAGGGCAACCAAGGGTCTCAGAGCCTCCTTACCTCGTTTGATTCTGCCATCCCTGAAGAGGCAGCCGATGGGCTGTACACTTGTTACATATATAGGGAGCTTATTTTTGTTATCCCTTCCACCTCCAATTGTTATTCCCAAAGATTCCTTTGGTTCCTTTTTTATTGAAACTGTCTTCTCATGAGTTACGTATCCCTGAGGTAGATCCTACAAAGAAGTGACAAAATATAGATTCATTTATACAATTGACATGAGAAGCCCACAATAAAATAACACAACACCTTGCATCTTTAACCCAGAACTTTTCAGCAACGTTACTGGAGAGCAAAGTCAGCTTCTGTTGTATTCGCCCTGGGTGGAAATACTATCCCGTATTCCCAAAGTGTTATCGTCATTACCAAGGGACTGCTGTTTGGGAAATGATGCCACTCTCCTAATGATTCCACATCCTTTCGCTCAGAAAGATGCTCACTCCGAGCAGAACAGTTTTGCTTTGAGGACAGACTACCAACTCATTTCAAGGCCATTCCAAGTGACCAAACTCTCTCTGACTACTAATAAATTGGGATGGATTCGGATCAGTAACTTACGTTATCTATCCTTTGTCATTTTGCCTCTCATGCGTGTTGTAAAGGAGCACGTTAACTAAAGCCTAGCTCTGCTTTTATTAGAATGACCAAGTTCTGCTCGTCAAACCCAGTATGACGTAAATGAATAAAAAAAGACAGACAACCAGGAGATATGTTTTCCAGATACACTATACAAAACATAAAGGTCAAAACGAAGATGGTCACGAAGACAGCTGGCATCCTTACGCAGCTAAATTAGTGTTTCTAGTGATTATAATGGTTTTATTTAAACTTTAAATATCAGGCTCGTTTTTCCCCCTATTAATTTGCAAACAATTGCAGATGCAACCAACTTTGGAGGCAGAAGTAGGCCAACACTGACATTTTTCTAAGGACGAATTAATCTTTGGAAGACAGTAGCATCTTTACTTTTTCAATTGTAGTGAAAGTACACATTGCAGCGTATGCTGTAGAAACTATACACCACTGCATTCAAATATTTAAATCAAAGAACTTGACTCCAGCTCTTTATGTCAGTCAGTTACCAATCTCCAGATGCACTTAAACACAAAAGTCTAGGTAGTTTTAGTTTTAAACACAGACCAATCTTTCCATTGGTACAACCGACTGGCAACTCTCTTCTTGCTCACGCTGTTTCCTATAGCAAGCAAATAGGTGATAGAAGCAACTTTGAAAGCACAGCAGCATTTCAGTTTAACTTGCAGAGTTCTCCACTTTCATGCCATACAGCTATCTAGCTCCAAACTGTAAGTTTATGCCACTGAGCAATATTTTGAAAGCACTGTGTTTGCTGGGTGTTGAGAACTAAGTCCAGTGGTGGTCCCAGTAGTCTCTCACAGATGTTAAATTTCCATAGCCCTTTACAAATGAGAAGGGATTAAATATTGGTCCCACATCAAGACTGGAGACATTTGAACAGATATTTCTACGTTTTTCTCTAAAAAATTGTATTTCACATGGTTCTCTCGCACTGAAAGTCAAACACTTACTGCTTTTCAATAGTTAAAGGAGAAAAGGAGCTTCTGATAAGTTATATATGAGAAATTACTATCACAGAGCTAAAATAATTGATCTGTTAGACCAAGAATAGCAAAGTGCTTTTCCCTTTATTACAAGGCTTACCTTCTGGTAGGTAGATTTTCGTCTGTAATGATTCTGATCTAATCTTCTTCGATGGTACACTGGACTTCCTCCGTTGCTGCTGCTGCTGCTATTGTTCGATGTATTGCCGTCTTCCACAGGCTCCGATAGCTGTACACCCGGCTGCCTTAAAACTACAAAGTTCACTCTCGATTCACTGGTCTGCCAGGAGAAGCAAAAAGAAGCCGTCTAAAACCACGAGAGGGCAAAGTCCCATCATGGTTCACGAAGTACCTTATTAAGTAGCTTAACTCATGACTGTTTTAAGTAATTTTTCTGAAAGCTGTCCACTGTGGCTTTGTCTGTATGAAAACGTACACATGGTGCGTGCACCACACCAATCCATAAAAGGAGTTACCTAAAAAGCAATGTTGACTAAAGTTTTGTCTTTATATGCATTTCTGAACCTCCCTGAGTTTAACTAAGAAACATTAGAAGTTAGGGACAGCCCCATCATTTTAGGGGAGAGAGAAAGAAGGTCGGACATCAGTTTGTATAAAGGTTTTCAAACAGGGCTACGTAACATGATGTGATGATGCTTGTGAAGAGATGCAGAAGCCTACGGTGACTGAAGGAATTAGGAAATGTTTGTTACAAAGAACAGAAGTAGAGGCAGGCTTCACTTCTGCCTCCCTCCGCTGCAAAGAGCAAACAAGAGAAAGGGGAAAGAGAGGATTAATTCCTCCACTTCAGTACAAATAACCAAGAGAGTGTTTTGTATTCTGCTACAAAGTGAACAGAGTTAGAACGCTTGCTGGCCCATACGGTGGATCGCCACGACCTAAAAACTGGATGCTGCTTCTTTGATTGTAAAGAGACTTGATAAAGCTGTTTCCCTCCCAACTTATTTACCATGTCTATTGTTCAACTTCTCCCTCTTTTCTTTTGTCCCCCTCCCCACCCCCGAGAAGTACCTGAAGACATGACCTTCGGTCCAAGATTGTTGGCAATTAAACGTTTCAGCAGCTGTGTGTCTGGCCTTGACAAAACGACAGGGGAACTATTCACTATTGCTACTGCTCTTGTCATTTGGCTTGTTCTTCTAGATAATCTGACAAAACCGTACGGTGAAGAATTCTACTGGGGTGAGGCATACATGCTTATTTATGACATCTGCTGCAACAGATGAGAGAACTAGCTGCTACTCTCACTTCTCCGCATGGGATCCTTTTGGCCATTCTCTTGGTGCCACAGCACCTCACAGCAGTGAATCCCACAGCCTAGGAAGAGGACTACACCAACTGATGCGGGGGTCTTTTCGGTTTTTATTGTTATTGCTTTTTTTTAATTGGTACAGGAGAGCTTTGTTTTGTGAAAAATAATTTAAAAGCCTCTCACCCCCAAAGCCAATTCGGATAGGGCAGTTTTTTTTCTATGCCTTCATAAATGCACTGTAAACCTCCCCTTCATCTAGGGGATACCAGACCGTATGTACAGTACATGTGTATGTGTATATATATGTTTATATGTGTGTGTATATATATATATATATGTGTATATGCGCTGTAGGTGCAACTGGTAGTTCACAATGCAGGTAGAAGGGCTCCCTTCCTCAAATGGTTTGCAATCAAAACTAAAACAAAATTTAACCAATAATTTTAATTAGACCTCAGAAGAACAGATACTGTTTGGAAGGCCACCATGGTTTTATAGAACGTCACTTCAAAAGGAATTCAATCCCAAAACCCACTGAAGTCAGTTCTCAGACTCTGGTTAGTGATTTCAGTGGGATCAAGAGTTCCTCATACGGGAGTCACATTAGAAAAATACAGCAGCACTTAATGGGATGCAAAGAAAATTCTAACAGAATAGAGTATCAAAGCACATACAGAAGAAGAGATTCCAGTACTGGAAACCGGCTCTTTTTCTTTTATTCTCCCACCCCACTGCGCTTCTCTGCTGGTTTCCAGGAAGAGAACCGACTCTCCCTCACGCTGCTGACCTCAGAGCCTTTCCGGGATATAAACACTATGTAATGAGATGTATTGTGTCAGGATCTTTAGATAAAAAGAGAAACCGGAGGTCACTACCCTAGGAAGATAAAGAACTTAAGAGTGATCTACATGCAATCTGCCACACTGCTAGCAATCCTTATTCCTTAAATCAAAATTCCTTGCTCAACCCCTTCACCAAAACATTTGGTACACCACAACAAAGAACACATCCCTACTACGCAGGGAAAGACCGCTGTGCTACTTCCCTTTTAGTATTCTAGGAGGTTTTTCGTTTGAATGGCCTTATTGCTTTCTAGACTCCCTTACCAAATACAGTTTAAGTGGGAAATCTTACAGAGGGATTCAAATAAATCAAAATGGTTCTCTTCTGTGCTGCCAGCCTATCAGATCTCCCTGCAAACATCTTTAGCTTGACTAGCTGAAATGAAGCACAAAAGGCTGTCCTAATCTCTCATCTTTGTTGCACGCATCTACAGTACATACAAATACCACACTACAAAGGAGATCCAGTTGCCTTAGCTGAACTGAAGTGCCATGAGCAACTGCCTCACTTCAGATTTGTCAGAGATGTCTCACTCTTCATGTTTATCTTCATTTGGAAGCAGTGCTTCCCACACATCCCCAAGGAAGTCACTTTCCCAAAGAGATATTTAAGGGAATGCAGTTTGCTCTAGCATGTTCCATTAGCCCTTGGGTCAGAACAGGAGCCCTGCTATCAACGCTGACAGCTGAAGAGTCATTGGACAGACACTTTGCCATGCTATAAATTACCTGGATTATCTGTGCAGCAGTCTCAGGTGTTCCTTGCCTCAGGTCCTGGCCGTTTATGGACAGCACTCTGTCATTCCGACTCAGCTTTCCATTTTTGGCTGCCAAACCTCCCTCTAACAAATCTAGAATAAAAATCCCTGCCTCATCTGTCTTCCTGATGAGTTTGATTCCCAACGGTTCAGATCGGTCTCTCTTTATCAAGGTAACGTGGATCACTTCCCGATTTGGAGCAGAACTGGAATCCTGCTGTACAGTCTTACTGGAAAAACCCTTCTCCTGCAGGACCATGAGGTGAAGAACAGGGCCTGGGTGGCGCAGGAAGGACACAGCTTGACAGTGAGTCACACTGCTAATGTTGACACCATTCACCTAGAAAGACAAACAAACCAGAGCCACTAATCAGAACCAAGATAATTTAGGCACTTTCTGTAGTGCAGAACATCAAAGTTGGAGACAGGATATACAACTATTCAATGCATGACTGAAGCAGCTGCTTCTGATGCATATTAGAGAGCAGAGTTTTCTAGAGAAGAATTTAGAAGAAAGCAGATGAACTAAGAGCAACAGTGATGGTGAACTGCTGAGTACAAAGAGACAGAAAAACACATATAGCTTACAAATCTGAAAGTGCAAAATACTGAAAATCATGACCTCCATCCCAAGGCAGTGCAGAACTGCTTTCCGCTAACTTCCAGTATTCAATACACACTTGTAGAAGACTCAAGTTGGAGACTGCCCATCCTCACTTGGATGAGCGGTCCGTAGCCTACAACACTTCTAAAATCATCAGTCTAACCATGCCTTTACCAGGGTAATTTGGAGAAGCTACTTTTTGCTTTGACTGTTGTCACAGAAGATTCTATATTGCCTCTCTTTAGGACGTTAATAGGACCTGCCCTATTTGCGGTCCAGTCAAGGCTGCGACATGCACAGTTTGACTAGACTAAAATGGAAGTTAAACTATTGGTTAGAGAAACCAACACAAGAGACTGCATCTGCCACACGCGCATGCAGCTGCCAGTCATTTCTGGAGTCTGCGGTCCAACAGGCTAATTGGGTCTTGAATGCTTGTCAAATGATCGAGCAGCCATAGCCAGGAGGTTTTAACAGTTCTCTCTGCGTGTCGGCTTTACTACTGCGTACAAGCTTCTGTCACCTCAAGGAGCCCAATGCAACGAGCACAATGGTACGTCAGGTTAATCTGGAAACTAAATCTGGCTGTGGGTCAGCTGTGCTATGAGTTTGGTACTCCTTGTTACTCACATGACGCTGCCTTTAAGCCATAAGGTCTTAAACTTTGGACCTGCTCCTTGAGGAAACGCAGCTTAAGCAACATAGCAGAGCAAGGCAACTCTTAAGATTTTCTAGCTAGAGCAGTCTGTTGGAGAGAAGTGGTGTTACTGGCTGAAATTTATCAGATGGAGATCTTTTTGCTTTACAAAAAAATGATCTAAATCTCAAAAAGCTGTGGAAGATAACCAGCTAAACAGAATTCACCTCCAATCAAGAGAAGTAGCAAGGGGACTATCAATGGGATTTTAGGGATTTTACATACCTCAAGAATATGGTCTCCAGGTGCTATTCTTCCATCTGCAGCAACAACAGAATGCCGCAAGACTTCCTGAACAACAATGTTTCCTAGTGGGGTATCTTTGCCCCCCACTATCCTCATCCCCAGCTCTTCCTCTGGGTCTTCTCGGTGAATTTCTATTGTGCTCGTTTCAGCCACAAGACTAGCTCGCTGAGGAAAGTCTGATTGTGGAAACGGAAGAGAAGAAAAAACACGTGAATAAAACCTTCCCTTGTATAGCAAACATCAAAAGATTTGCAACACTGGCAGGTTGTGTTCAAAATTAGCATTTGGAGGGAGAGGAGGGGAAAGCAGCTATGAGGAGAGGAAAGAATAGGTCAAATTAAAAGATGAAAAGCCCTTATTTCTGTTCAGCTTCTCCAGAACGTTTCCCTTCTTGTTCTGGCTTACGGCAAACTTGGACTGTTTCACTGCTATTTCTTAACTTTTATTAAGGGTGTTCAGTGTGTTTCACTTACCACTTAGAGATGTATTTTTCTACTTTGACAGCTGGCCTACTGGAAGTCCACTTCCAGAGATCCAATAAGCAACAAATCCCATGATCCTCATTAGGAAATGGGACTGCTAAGCTGTAACTAGTGGTCTGCCGTTGCCATGACTCTACCACAGGCAGCTCACTTCAGTTTCCCTTCTGTCTCCCTTCTTCCTCCTACCTTCCCCTTCCCGCCACTGTAAGACAGTGCTTACCTATTTTACAGCATCCTGAAGACTAAGCAACGCTTCTCAGACACTTTGAAGATGAAAGTTGTTGTTAGCAAGTCATATTAAATCTACCAGCACTGCAGCAGTTGGGCAGGCCTGACACCAGTCAAGGCGAGCTGCAGTTGTCACACAAGAGATGTAAAAAAAATTGCCCTGAGTATACTTGGGGAAAAATGCCAACAGCGAATTAAACTGACCTAATGTAGTAACTCCGACAGGCACAGCAGCAGACAAACTCCCAGCTCCACTATCTACACACATGGAAAATGAGACCAACTTTGAAACAAGGCATCGAGATTTCCAAGCTGCTGACTTCTAACAGGGGTTGAGACAAGTGATTTATTCTGAAGCAGAAACACTTACTTCTATCTGGAAGCGTTTCATAACTATCAATACAAAAATTAGGTCTGGCTATAAAAACACACTTGCTTAGTACCATTAGGGAGGTACTGACCACCCCAGGAAACCGTTCCTTAACAAGATTAAGAAGAAGCTGGAGCTATTCCTAATTACTTATTATTTGGCCTCTTCAAGTGTTTTATGCCCTGTTCCCACTGAAAGGAACAGCCTTTGCTTCTTTGCAGCGCAACAAGAGAGTACTGCAAATAAAGTATTCACTACAGTCTAACAGAGATGCTCTGAACTGTTCTGAACAGCTTTGTGCTTGTGAGCAGATCTTCCCACACTTGATGCACATGAATGCATCTTTCTGCTGTTCAAGGACAAGCGGAGGAAAGATCTACCCCTGTTGGTACTAATGGTTAAACAGCATGGAGGATATCCAACAGCAGGGACACTTTAAAAATTGATATATATGAAATAATTACCTTATTTTTATATTATAAAAGGTTATCACATAGTTACATTTCTGTATCGAACTCTCACCTTCTTCAGTCTCTTCAAAAGCTGGATTAACCAGTCCAGGCTCCGCAGTCCCTAGCGATACCACGGCAGCTACAGAGCTTTCTGCTACAAGCGACGATCCTCCGCTTGGTACCTCAGGATCCTTGGGTGTGTTTGTTTCCACCTTGGCAGGGAGATCTTCCTTGCCTTTGGGAAAAGGATTCTTTTTCCGCTCCCGTTCAGATTTGTATTTCTTGAAACCGGGACACCTGGAGAAACATTGTCTGTGACCGTAAGTGGACGGTGCCTGCCTACGCTGTTATCTCTGCGCATGCAAGCTCTGACTGACAAACCCGTGCAAAGAAGCATGTTCTAGATCTCATCAGCTGCAGAGCTGAATCGTAGCATCTGTGATACAATTCTCTGTTAACAACCTTCATCTTCTCCTTGCAATAACATCAGTTTAAAAGTGTGATTCTTATTCATTTACTTTCAAAATTACTAAGCAAATTGGTTCAAAAAGGGGATCGAATAGGAAGAACAGTTTCCCTTGCTGAATAGGTACCAGACAAACCATCAGGGAAGACAAGAATACATCTTTTAAAGCATAAGCAAATACTTAGGGCAGTTCTAAAAGGGCAGAACATGAACTATACCTTTATGCAAAGGAAGTGACTCACATTTCAAGGTCAGCCTTGAATTAGGCTTTGTTTTTAACAAATCTGTAACATGCAAGAACAGCGACCAAGGCCAGCTTGCTTATTTTTTTGCTGAACAAGTCCTAACCTCCGAAGGGACTCTAGCTCCAGTCCACGCAGGTGATGGCTCTACTTGAATGTGGGCAATTTAGGAAAGTTTATATCCTGTTGACTACACCCAATAGGAAGGTTCAAGAAGCTATTCTACATTCAACACAATACACTCTGTGGGCACCTATGCCATAGCCAACCTATCTCGGCAAAAATGAGTGAGGAAAAGCAAGCTCTTGTATCAAGGATACCTCAGAAAAGTGGCATGTGACTCAGGTCACGAATGCAAAAGCATCACTTCCAGAAACCTGAGTTGTACTGGGTGGTTACTAGAGTCACATCTAAAACTGAACTATTTACATTCTGGCTAAACAAGTCTTGTTACGGTGATTCTGCTTTATTCCTGGTCATTTTTCTCCAAGCAATAACACGGCCCTAAAACTTAGAGACGGGAGCCGATCAATCCACCTGTGCACACCTCCCTCTTAAAATGCAGAGAAATAAGTTATTCTTGCAAAGGGCAGACAAAAATCCTTCAAGGAAACAAGTTCCTAGATTGCTTCTTATTTCCTCAGTTCATTTCACTTAAAACTAAAGAAAAAAACCCCAAGATTCTGCCAAAGTCCCATTGTAATTTCTTTCACAGCCCAGGTGAAAGAGGCAATTTTTAGAACACCTCCTCCCCAAGAGGGTAAAGACCCATGCAAGATATAAAAGAACAATAGTTTCCAGTGAGGTCTGAAATGTAAACATTTAAGGGTGCCTCCCTCTTCCGTGTTTAACTCCCATGTCAGAGGGATTAGCAAGTGACAGAAGTTTACTGATGCCCGGGTGGATTTACAGAGGGGAGACGAAGGCCTCTGCCCCTTCTCGCTTCTTCAGCCTAGCCCCCGGCACAGGGGACAACCCCAGGGACGCAGCAGACGAGCGGCTGCAAGGCTGGGCAGCCCCGTCCCCGGAGTCTAAGCATTCAGCCACGCTTGGTAACAGGAAAGCCGTACAAAAGGAGATTATAAGCACTGACAGAATGGGAGGAAGGAGTATCTACGTGTCTCCCCTCACTCAGGAGGCTCCACGGCTCTAATGTGAGCTCTCAGCTCGTGGGTACTGAAGGCAAGCAGGACACGTATAATGACAGGTGCTTGGTGGGAACTGCAAAGATATCCTAACCACAAAGATATCCTTACCTACGCGCTGCTCGACTTTAAATATGGTATTGCCACAAGAAGCTACAACATAGCTGAAAGATAGGAAGCCTACTGCATTCCTCATTACACACCAACAAAATACACTGCCACTGAAGCTCTGCTTCTGCTTGCACTACACCTTGTTCTTAGCTCCCTTTCCAGCAATCATTAACTAGGAACAAATGTTCCTCAAGCGCCATGGCAAGAGCTGTCACCTGCGCTGCTTTTAAAACTACAAAACTCTGCCCGCCACCAGCAAAACCAACAGTGGAAGGGCCAAAACACATCTCTGCTGAAAAGTGCAAGAAGAAAAAAAAAAAAAAACCACACACACACACAATCTCCCTTCCTCAACAGAAGGAAAAAAAGAATATATTTTTCAGTTGCTTCTCTTTCGTAGCAAAAGAAAGAAGGAAGATAATGGAATTTTAAGTAGGTGATTCAGCAACTGCATAACGTGCAGCTTGGAGGGACTTCCATTATTTGGATCAAAGACTGATGTATTGCACATCTTAATTGGACCAATTAAACTGGCAACACTGCGTGATCCCTTGCCTCCAGAGCGTTGACTTAGCGCCTGGCTTTCTTCCCCGTGCAAGCGAAACAAGGAATAAGCAAGTTTATAACAACTGTCAAAGAGTCAGGTGCCCCAGATCAGGACCTGCACATTTACATACATTTGATAGGTTTTGAGTCTGTGGACAGCTTGCATCCGAGTAGGCAAGTGCCTCCTTAGCATATTCGAGCTGGCCTCCCAAACACGTACACACAATTACGTTGTCTTCACCCACCCACCTTTCTGGCCTCACCCTCTGGTGCCCCATCTTGCCCCAGTTTAACAACCTTTCTGCCAACGGATCTTTCTGTTCAGATGCAAAACAGACACAGACAGCATTAAACACAGAGTAGCAATATTATCTAAATGGCTAGGCACCTGTTCTGCAGGTGAGCTTCTAGTTCACACCGCTGCATTGTCTGCTGACACTCCGCCTTGAAAGGACAGAGGACAGCCAGCTTATCCAAGAGGTTTCGCACCAGGAGGCTGGACTTGTGGCACTGCTGGAAAGAGAGTTTTTTGCGATCCATCGGACAAAAGTTGTACTCCTGCATGAAGTTCTCGAGGCACTTGAAACAGTACGTGTGTCCACAGGGGGTGTCCATAGGTTGCAGCAGAGGCTGGAGGCAGATATGGCAGATGAGTTCGTCGTCCACTTCATCTTGGAAGTTATAGAGATGATTGTCAGGCAAGTGGTGGAACTGACCACATTCGCCGCAGAGCTCGCCGGCTTGGGACGCGGGTTCTTCTGCTACGGGGTCTGCCATGGTACCAGCATCAGGTGCTCTCGGGCCAGCAGGAAGAAAACTTGTCACGCAGTCGCTGTCGGACAGAGTTCCTCTAATGAAAAGAGAAAGATTTCCAGTCAAATGTCACTTCTAGATCTAGTCGATTAAATATTAAACTGTATTCCTGCCTTGGGCTCCCCCGGTATCTTCGCCCCCACCAACTCACCTTAGGGCTCTTCCTTCCAGTGCGACCCTGTGAAGGATTCACCCAGGCAACAGCAAACGCTAGGACCTGACTCAGCAAAACTGAATTAGTGGGTAAACTGAAGCCTAAATTACTTTATATGCAACAGGGACACTGACTAGATTAAAGCCCTGCCAAACATACAAACTAGAAAAACTGAAACAAAAGCTGTGTGTTCTTGAGGGAGAGCAACCCAGAAGAGGGGAGGAAGGGAACGGGAGAGAGAAAATAACCAAGATAGCTACACAGGAAAATTGTCAGTTTAAAAAATGACTTTCTGGATGATGCAGAACATTAGTCATTTTAAAGATACACACGGTGAGATATCTACCTAGGGACTTCTGGTTGTCCGGATTTTTGTTTGGTGTTGGGGGGGTGGGAGGGGGCGAAGGGGAAGAAGAGGAGGAAATTTTAAAAGGAAACTTCAAAAAAAAAAAAAAGCTAAATCACATTTCCTTCCTCTTAAGCCCACTCCCTCCGAAGACCAAAATATTTAATTTTAACAAAGACTGCATTGTTCCCAACTCATCTGTGCATATGTTCACTCACTGAAGCAAATTTCCTATGAAAAGACCAAAGCCTTCTAAGAAAAAGAAGAGAGGTAGAAAACAGTCCATGTCATAGTTTGTTGTAATGCAACACACAGGCTTGAATTTCAGCAGATTTTTAAATAGCTTCTTACAGTTAGTGAAAATACGGAGCAAGCTAAGTTCTTAGCAGCTGCCTCTATATTGATTTTATAAAAGATGTCTCCATCCACATCCAATTTGAATCTTGCCTACTATAGTCAGATATCTGCTAGCAAACTCGGGCGAATTTGATTACTTTGCAAGCACAGGCATTACTGCAGCAAGGGTTCCTTCTGCTCTGGCAGTTATTTTAACGACGCAAGCAATGTGGTCCTCCATGAAGCTAACAGTCTGTATCATACTTTTTTTTTTTTTTTTTTTTGGAGTTCACTTACAAAACCCAGAGTCTTCTAACATGAAAAGACTGCAGAACTGTGATGAAATGGAAAACGTTTGCAAGACCACATGGAAAACGTCTGAAAACAATGCCTTTGTCTGGAACAGGTAAAAGCCTAAACAAGAGCAAACACTGGTCTGCAGCGGTGCCTGGCACGCAGCAGCAATTTTGGAGGAGGGTTGGCCAGAACAATAAGATAGTGAGACCAGCAAGAAAAAATTAGTCATGGGTTTCCAATAAAAAAAATCATACATCATTCCAACTTCAATTAATTGTCAAGCGTAAGTCAGCTATTTAATTAAAGGAATAACGTATCACCAAAAAAAAAAAAAACACTATTTTATGGGAAATTTTTTTTTTTTTTTTTTTCTTTCCTAGCCATAGAAACTTGTTCACTTCAAAAGGGTAAAATGTTATTGTCAAGGTTCCAGGTGGGTCCAGGGCACGAGCTGTTTGCTTCTCCTCCTCTTGCTGCGGTGCCAGAAAGCATCTTCCCCTTGAGGAAAGCACTTGCATGTGATGTACAGGCCTCGCTCTCCTCTTTGGACCTATTCTTTAACTCCTACCGCACTGACTCAGAGCTCCCCAGAAAAGAAAGCCGTCAGCAGCATATTTCATAGTGGAAGAAGTGCGGACGGCACGCAAGCAAATAAAGCAAACATTTCCACGCCCTACTGTTTTAGAGAAAACACTGTTCCTACCTCTATCTCTGGTACCTACCTCTATCTAAAACAGACTCCAATATCTCTGTTTGTCTTACAAAACGTCACACCATTTGATCTTAAGTTATCTTACAAGCTAAAAGGTAACATTTCAACATTAGACAGTGACTTAGCATCACCTACCAATTCTAATCAATCAGCTCAGTGACAGCACTTCAAGAAATGCCAAGCTTTCAAGGCAAACACCTACCAATAAGAAATACTTGTGCTTCAGGTTGTAGTACACTTGCATCAAATTTTGGCAGGAGATTAAACAAATTCAGTGTCTCAGTGAAAACAAACTCCAGGGTAATTTTGCTGATAAACTCCTTTTATAAGGGGCTTTTTCCACATATTTACCCAATTCATTCCCTGCCCTCTGTGTTTAAAGGTTGTAAGAGATGAATCCCACTTAAGAGTCATTTCAAAACTGGAGGAAAATAAAAATACTGCCACAATCTCTGCTTTCCTCTTCCCTGTAACTCTGCGTCGCTCCGTCTTCTCGGCTCTACACCTTTGGAAATAAGGTGCGAAGCGCTCGTTCAGAAGCGCCAAAATACGTTTGGCTTTTCCACTGCCGTCCTTTCGGTGGGGAGGGCTCCGGGGAAGCCGAGCCCGACACCTTGGTGATGAAACCCGGCCCGCGCCCTGCGGCCAGGCAGGGGCCGGGGAGCAGCGCCGGCGAGGGCGGCAGGCTCCGACAAGCCTGCCCTTCGCTCCGTGATTCAGGCAGAAAGCAGATGTGCTGCAAGAGGAAAATTGCTAACGTCTTATTCAGAGATGACTCCTTTAGCGCAACCAGACAGATCTGAAGCGTCGAGAAAACGCACTGTGTCAACACAAGAGGCACAACTGCCCTCTGTTCAAATACACCAGCCTTAATAGACTCCGTCCAGAGTTACGCTTCAATCAGGCCCTGAGATTGTGCTTTTTAGGTGAAATATGAAACATCCCCAATCTTCAGTGGTTCCATCAGATCTCTGCTACTCTCTCAAACCTCCGAAGCTCCGAGCAACCCCAACTCCCTTCATCCTCCCTTCATGTATTGCTCTTTTTGTGATACCGTTCCTCCTTTCCTGCTGCCTTCCAGCAATGCCACTTTTAAACCCCTTTGTACACATCCCCTGCTTTTGCCTTTCGCCACAGTATTCAGATCCCTCCCTAGGCCTCACTCTTACCACAAAACACTAATTTCAACATAAGGGCGCATTAGCTTCCGCACAACGTACATAATATGAGGAAGTCATAAAATAAGGATCTAGCTTTGTCTCGAGTTACTACTTACTGACTACATAAAAATGTAAAAGCCTGACATATATATATCTCTCTGTATAGATATATATTGCTGCCATAATGGACTTTGCTGTTTATAAAGTATAATGCAGTGAATGCCTCTAGATTCTGAATTATTTAGGAAGCAATACCTTATTCCTATATTCCTCAGTGAAGAAACTAGCAGAAAAACTATTTCCCAGTTTCTTACTCTGCGTGGCCTAGAGCAAAAACTTCTTAAGGATCATCCTCACTGTATGAAATAAATTATGGGTTTTTTTTTTTTTAAATCAGGATTTCTCATACTGTAATACTGACTCAAAGAATAGATTTTTTTTTTCCCCTCGAAAGGAAGACTTATCAGGTTGTCTAATCTATTTCCCCACCAAAGCAAGACTGTTCCTGACAACATTAGCACATTGCCTATTCTTGTTTTAGCCCTGCTAGGGCACAGAGCCTCAGACATACACCCCCTCCGCACATCTACAGCGTAGTTAATAGCACTAGCAGGGAGCCTGCCAAGAGCTACACAAAAATGAACCCCTCGGCTCCATTTCACATGGATAAATTCAATCCAGACCTAGTCTCCGATACATCCCTGAACTTGTAAACAGAACTGATGAATTACTTCTACAGCTAAGCTGTTTAAAAAAAAATAACAAAATAAAAAGGCAGGGTGGGGGGTGAAGAGTCCAAGAAAGCTTTCTAACGCTTGCACCAAAATGACTGAAAAGGTGCTGCGGCTGTAATACCTGATTACCCCAAGAACAACATCACCGCTTCCAAATTTATCATTTGAAGTCTCAACATTTCCAACTCCCACTCCCTGTGTTTAAGGCATATAACTCAGCCTTAATTAATTTAGTTTGGAGCACAAACAGGCAAAATTCAGTCCAGGCCTGTCTATTCGTACAGCCCCAACATTTGATACAAGTCGCTTTCGGTCATGAAAATATTTATCTTAATGACATATCTTTGAGCTATGCTATTCCCATTTACAGACTGAGAACTGACATCAAGAGAAGCCAAAACACAGACCCACAGAGGTATCAACTGATGTGAATTAAATACTTAAATATGACTGTGAATCTGACCCTAAGCAACCTACCTCAGATCATAGAGAAAGCCTTCAAAAAAACCAAAAAACACCCTGCAAGTCCAAAATGAGATCAAAAAAAAAAAAAGGAAAGAAAATTAAGACTGCTTCTACAAACTGATCTACAAAACCACAAGTACGTTAAATGAACCAGAGCACGTCCCATATTGCAAAAGAGGGAAACGAGCAGTCAGCCTACCGTAAGGCAAGGGCACAAAACAGAAGTGTAAGGGTTCCTCCTAACAGATCAGGATGGCTAGAAAAACGCCTCATAACATCGTCAAAAGAAAAAAGAAAAGTTTGTCAAATAACTCGTTCTCAGTATTAAGAAGTTCATTGTAACATGGGAAACGTTTTGGAAATAAGGGGGTTTATGTTCTTCACCTTTAGGTTAAAGCTTACATGCTAACGTGGACAGACGATACCAACAACCCCAACGTAAAAGCTGACTTTGAGGCTTCTAACCACACGCAGCACATGCCCCACGTACACTGCTATGTAAAAGCTCACTGCAATAATTATGCCAGTTATTATATTTATGAGAACATTTCCCTGAGAGACTGGAAATGCAACATTCCAACTAAAGGCCAAAACAATTAATTAAGTGGCTTTGGGTGGACAAAAGGCCCAAACACGCTGGATCGATTAAGATGACTGAGGGCACCCACCAGGGAGGCACTAACCCAAAACACCTATCTGCTTCCATAAAAACAACAAAGACAGCAGCAAGTTCCCCATGGATCCTGACAGAAACTCAGTGCTCTGAAAATGAACCATAAGAAAAAGTGAGATCATTTTTGCAAAACTTGCTTCAAATAGCCACTATATGAAATACCTGATTGAGTAAAGGCTTTTTTTTTGAGGGGGACATTTTATATATGTATATATATGTGTGTGTGTGTGTGTGTGTGAAAGTGTTCTGTAACAGATTTTTTGCTGGATTTCAGCCCTACTCTGAGCGAGCCCTTTGCATGCAGAAAAAAGGGACAGGTTTTATGTGAAATACTGTAATGTTTTGATCGAAAACTTCCATGATACTGCTACAATATTTCACAACCATGAGTAAGTTGTCCTCAGTTTACAGTAGTGGCATAGAAAATAATGTCGAAACATCTGA